TTCTACCGAAGGCCAGGGTTAATTTGTGTTTTACTAACAGTATTAACAAAACTTTCGTGTTTAAACTCTCTGTGATACCCAAGATAGCATTCTTCGCCTCTAAAACATTCTACTCAGCTCCTCATCTGTCAAGAGTCTCAACTTGGCAGGTCGAGGGGTGGGGTCAGGGACAACTGTCTTATTTCTAGCATAACTCTGATCAGCTCGACGAGGTGCAAACACAACTGAGGATCAGTGTGAACAAAACATTCAATCTGACTTGTGTATTCATACGCTAATAATTATAATCTCGCATGCGTTGGTGTCAATTAACCGCGCTCTGAACAAATGAGATCAAGGTGTGGAGGTGAAATATGCATCGACACTACCACGAGAAAAACTCTCGGCGCTGATGGTGATCATAGGGCGAAAGTGCAGTGACGATCGGACCAGCGCACACTGGGACGGCTTCGAGAGGATCTGAGGGGAGTCGGCAATATGGACGGAGATCTTTGGACTGTCTTCATCATTCCAAAAAAAATGTGTTAATATTTTAAAAATGAAAAAAAAAGTCTTTAATAGGACCACATTTTGCAGTAAGGAACCACTTTTTCTGGCTCATTTTAGAAACACCATATGTGGCATTGGTTTCCCTAAGCAGAAAGGTGCTTTTATGGAGGAGCCAGAGATAGTGGTTCCTTATTGCAAAATGTAATTCAATATATCTTCGGTGTAAGTCGGCAGTCACATGACTCGTTTGCGGTGTCGGAAAATCTCTGCCTCTATGTTATTTTTTTAAAGGAGAACAAATTGATATCATTCCTTGAAATTTTTGCAGAATTTTCTTCGCAAGGAGAAGATAAATCACGGCAGTTTCAAAGAATTGTCGTTGAGTTGTTTTCCGTTTAAAAAAAAAAAGTCTGAGAGGAAGTCTATGACGTCGCAAACCGAGTTATGTGATTACAGACTTACACCGTCGATTTGTAGGATTTTTATTTTGGCTTATACGTTTTTCTTTTGATTTTAAGAAATGAATTATGATCTTTTGAATCATTTGCATGTTAACTATTAACATTAAAATATTAACATATTACATTTACATAAAACATAAAGTGTTTGTGTTGAAATTATATCATGAGTTTATTTAAGCAAAAAAATTGGACGTTATAGTCGGTTTTTCATACTTTGAATGGAGATGTTGCATGTGTGAGGAATTTGCGATTTGACTGTTGATTCTTACGTAATAGTTCGCGAGAAACACGATGGTGCCACTGGTTTTCTCTGAAATTAACTCCCAAGCTCAAAAAAACTCTCGAGTTGAGGCCAAAATTGCCGGGGATATCCCACGCTATTCCAAGAGTCCACCTCTACATCGAGACAAACTCTCCATGCAAAGATAGGGAGCAAGTCATTAGCAGGGTTGACGTGTTTTCAGTTTTGGAGTCCCCAAATAAAATGGCAGCCCTGTCAATGCATTTGCTCCCTATCTTTGCATGGAGAGTTTGTCTTGATGTAGAGGTGGACTCTCAGGGTAGCGTGGGATATCCCCTCCATTTTGGCCTCAACTTTAGAGCTGTTTTTGAGCTTGGGAGTTGATTTCAGAGAAAACCAGTCGTGTTTCGGCCACCACCAGTCGGCACCGTCGTGTTTCTCGCGAACTTTTAAATAAGACCGAACAGTCAAATCGCAAATTCCTCACACATGAAACATCTCCATTCCGGATTTTGCTGACCAGGTTGTACCGACCTACGTCACAGGGTTCACAATCCTCAAGATGCAAACACCTCTTTCTTTTTCTCTACGCATAAAGGTACTCTTTTCGGTACGGCATGATACTTATCCGAACCACTGCGCGCCACGCTGAATAATGTGGGTCCGCCATACTCCCACAATCCAACCCGAGCGCAAAGTACACAGTGCACAGAGCGCACATAGACATACCGAGTCCCTCAATTACAATAAATATTGAGCAACTTCGACTTGGTTGCACTCTGCTCGTGCAAGGCGCCTCAGTGGCGTGACGTGAATGATCGATTATCGATATATCGCCATGTGAAGCTATAGTAAAGAATCGATTACTAAGGTGTTCGCTAGCGAACGCCCTGACAATCGATCTTTTTCCATAGGTTTAAATGGCATAACAATCGATATATCGCAATTCACGCCACGCCAATGAGGCGCCTCTATGTGCTCGCTGATCCAGGCATTCCATCACACTCCTCACTCTGCTCTGTTGGGAGCATGGCTTACAGAATCAGGGAAAACTGAGACTCTGGATATTTAGATCTATTAACAGCAGTGGCGTGGCGCGAATTGCGATGTATCAATTGTAATGCCATTTAAACCTATGGTAAAGAATCGATTATTAAGGTGTTCGCTGCGAACACCCTGTTTATCGATCCTTTCCCATGGGTTTTAAGGGCATAACAATCGATAGACCTCAATTCACGCCACGCCACTGATTAACAGCATGTGACACTCACAAGATAAAAGCACCATTTCGTCGTATTTCTGACAGGGCCATATTTCTGCCGTGCCAAGGAAGAACGCTGTATGAGCCTTCAGACGTTGCCAAATTTCCCTCGATAGAAACCGAATTTACAGGAAAAATTGTGAGTGTTTTCCCCAAAATTTTTCGGACAATTTTGCACGCAATTTAATCAAAAATATCTGAAAACTTAAAGAAATGAATGTTGTCATAAAAAACATGTTTTATCAAAGGAAATTTAGCAACTTTTAAATGTTCATACGGGTTCTTCCTCAGCACGGCAGTTCTGCAGTTCGATTTCCACCAGTGGCGCGGCGTGGCGTGCATTGCGATATATCGATTGATCTGCCATTTGAACCTATGAAAAAGGATCGATTATCAGGGTGTTCGCAACGAACATCTTAATTATCGATTCTTTACTATGCTTCAAACGGGGAAATATCGATAAATCTCGAAGCACGCCACGCCTTTGATTACCACATGAGCCCCGGAAAGCATGGGGTACCTAATATAGACAACAGAGCTCACGTAGAAATCGAGATGAGCCCTTACGTCAGAGGAGCGACGATTTTAACCAGTGGCGTGGCGTGCTTTGCGATATATCGACTGATTCACCATTTAAACCTATGGAAAAGGATCGATAGACAGGGTGTTCGCAGCGAACCCCTTAATAATCGATTCCTTACCATAGCTTCAAATGAGGAATATCGATAATCGATTGTGCACGCCACGCCACTGATTTTAACCAATGCTGTCGTGCTAAGGAAAAACGCCGTATGAGCCCTCAGACGTTGCCAAATTTTCTTCGACAAATCACGAATTTTCGAGAATATTATCTTTCAATTTTCAGATTATTTTGTTGGTAATTGTATCTGAAAGTTCTGAAAATTAAAGGCAAAATATTCATAACTTTTTTCAAATATAAATGTTTTCCGGGAGGAAAGGCATCCTCGAATGTTCATACGATATGTGCATCGGGCTGTGGTATATGTTGCATACCTGCTGATTGAAGGAACTCTTCTTATTGGAATTAATTGCAAACAAATTGAAGTAAGTTTCAATGTTTCATTGCATTTCAGGTTGACTATCTTTCCCTTTTTCTAACATTTTGGACTATTTTCGTGGCCGCACATAAGAGAAAGGACTTCAGTCCACGAATGCAACATTTCAGAGAGCAATTTTTGGAAAGTTGAGTTAAGAAATGGAATTTTGAAATTTCGATGGTGAACTTCAAAAGTTCTGAGGAATGTGTCGTGAGCAGTTTAGCTCATTAGGAAATAAAGTAGAGCTGCAATAAAATTTGGTTATTCATTATTTTAAATGTAACTTATCGTTGAACTTTGTAAGTTACTTGAATTACAAACTTTCAAAGGAAGGAAGGAGTTAATGAGCTCCAGTTCAGTCAGCATTTCTCGGCTTTTTTTTTTTGGTCCCAAAATGTTCCCGAAATGTTTTTCATCATTAAGTATTAGTGACTGAATTTTGAATTTTAGTTGATTAAGATCCTTACCCTTTGAACGATCATATTGGAATATATTTTAGTAAATCAGAACCAACAGAAATAAGCACTCCCAGTATCATCGGGAATAACACGACCAAAAGAGTTTCTTTTATCATCAACAGATATAAAAATCTGAGGTAACCATTCGATTAGATTTAATTTATCCATCAATCCGGTTTACGTCATACAAGGCAGCAATCACGTATAGATGTAACAAGAAAGTCTTCTGATATTCGGGGGCATTGCCTAACGACCATGATCAAGAATTCGTGCGTTTACTTGTCCCTGCTTTCAACACTTCAAATCCAGAAGCATGATCTAATAATTATTGTCACTCGAGTTCACTGAGCTTAATTCCCAACACAAAAGATGCTGGAGGTCTTTATGCCATCATTTTCACGATCGTAATTATGTGGAAAACCTCGATTACCTGCCCCACTGGCGGAGCCAATTTTTTATGACCCTTACGTTTGTTTTGTAAATCGTGAATCAAAGAAGTGCTAACTTATGTGGATGGTCTCACGATTACTGCGGAATAGTTTTGTCGCCGTAACAGACAACACATTTTTCGGTCATATTTTCAGTAGTAATGATAATCACTTGAATTTTTTTGCATTAATCTACACAGGGTTAGGGTCACGTGTTATAACGCTTTTCAAAGATTTATCGCTCTACTTTTCAATTTTAATATATAAATGGCCAAAAATGGTCTGTTACGCTGTATTTTTACCGCGTAACAGACAGCACATTTTCGGAATCTAAATAATATTAGTTGAGAAGTAGGGCAATAAATCATAAAATAGCGTTGTATAATACGTAATCCTCTGAAGATTAAGGCGATAAAATTCAAGTGATTATCATTTCTACTAAAAATATGGTAGAAAAATGTGTTGTCTGTTACGGCGACAAAACTATTCCGGTTATCATGAAACCACCCATGTATACTTAAACAGTCAAAACAAGATATGCATCTTGCTCATTGTTTAAACTTCTGAAGTTTCCTCAACAGGAGGCAAATGGATATACGCTTAGATGCATTCAAACTACAATAATGATTTGCATGAATGGTATATCCTCATCTTACATCTATCCAAAATTGTCTCCCGTGGCCTCAATTTTTATCGCAAGTTTTTCCCAAGGAAAATGTGGAACTATAACGAGTCCAGTGAAACTCGAACAAAGAAAAATATAGGACACCCGGAAAACACAATAAACTCTATGGCATCATTGTACATTTTCCAGCTATTTTAGAGGCACTTTTAGACCTCCTTGCTGAGATAAAAAGAAGTGAAAAAGCAGACCATAGTAAAAGTTTCTCCCGGATTTCGGAAGGTGATGTTAAGTTGGAAATATCAGTAAAAGCCAAGCTATGGCTTTCATGTCTCGAAAATTTCAATTTTTGTTTGTGTTTTTAAGCAATTTTAATTTGTGTTTTTCCAGTGACGACCCGCAAGTGTGTATTTCAAATGGGTGTATCAGAGGTTCGATCATAGAAACGAATTTTGATAACCGAAAGGTTTGCTCTTTCCGCGGCATATTCTACGCTGAGCCGCCGGAAAGATTTCAGGTTAGTGCAATAAAACGCTAAAATATGGCATGCTACACTTTCATGATAGGTGGGTATGTATAGCCACAGTGCTGAAATATGCACAAGAATTAACTTACATAAAACATTTTTTATTCATTTATAATTTTTGGTCAAAGCTTTTCAGCACAAATGCCATCGTCAGGATGTTTAGAGCTAGAAAACTATATTTTAATACATTTTTCAATTAATAATAACAATTTTGGCAGACACTTTATAAGATGATAAGACGTTTCAAGGATTCATCGCGGAGTTCAGCACATCTTTCATATAGTTGGTATGTTTCCAAATCGATTTCTGTTTTTAAATTTAATGAATTACACATCTTTTCGACTGCCTTGACAGTTTCTAACTCCTTTAGAATTGATAACAATTTTCTGTCATTACATTGTGTAAAATTTTAATATTGCTATCGCTGGTACGTCATTTGAATGCATTTCCATTCAAGCGCTCCTTATTGGCTTAAAAATTAAAAATTAATGCAGGCACATGCGTTGTTTTTTCCAGGACTCGGTGCCAAAACAGTCGTTTGATGGTGTTTTTGACGCTACGCAAGATAGTCCTGTTTGCGTTCAGAGAGAAAGTTTAAAATTCGGCGATGAAGTGAGAGTGGTTGGTCAGGAGGACTGTCTCTCAATCAGCGTTTACACACCCGCTGTAAGTCCAAACTATAATTTTTTTTTTGACTCCGAACGCCAAATACATGCAATTTTACATCGTGATATTTTTGCTTTGTTTTTAGATTTATTAATGATTTTATCACACATTACTGAAGAGCGTTTTTTTAGCCCAAAATAATTTTTAAAAGTGAAGGGATATTTTCTTTCTTTTTACTCGTGGAAGTTTTTTTTGGAGAGAGAAAATTTGGTTAAAAACAGGCGAGTTTTTTTTTTAATTCCAAGAAATTCAATTTTTTTAAATGATTTTACCACACAACTTTGAAGAGCATTTTTCTGGTCCGAATTTTTTTTTTAAAAGTTAAGGGATATTTCCATCCTTTTTCCTGTTGAAGTTTTCTTTGAGTGAGCAAATTTTCGAAAACTGGCGAGTTTTTTTTTTTTTTTTTTTTTTTTTTTTTTTTATTCCAAGAAATTTAATTTATCAACGATAACAAAGCTACATTTCTTTGAATGGAGCAAAAAAGTAAGTCTCAATTTCGGATCAAAGCGTATTCAGATGATTTTGCTGTTTTATAGTGTCCTCAGGCTACGAATCCACCATCGAATAATTCGTTGCCAGTATTTGTTCTCTTCCATTTCGGCGGCTGGTCTCAAGGATCCAATCTCGAAGCTATCTACGGCCCCGAATTTTTGTTGAATCAAGACGTTGTTTTGGCAGTGCCCAACAGTCGCCTGGATGTTTTCGGTGAGTTTTCATACGTATTTTGTTCGATAAAAAATAAAAACAAGCAGTTCCAACGCCCAAGCGTTGAAGGGCGCTTCTTTGTCAAAGCATATTACTACCAACTTATGTACCCGAAGACTGACGAAGCTGGAATTTAAAGTGGGATTCTTTAACCGCAGAACCCTTCAAAACTTCAGATCGACCGCGAAGACCTGAAACTTTCCACAAGCACTTTGTGATGAATTTTAGTCGGTGGCGAATGGAAACATAAAGGATTCACTGTAAATCAGACGACGGGAAAGAGCGGCGGAACCTCTAAAGCTGGTGCGTCAACGCAATCTAGCGGACAGCGGCGTCGCGACGCCGCGAGGTAGGGCGCGCAGGTCGCGGGGGAGCGGGGCCGCGTGAAGAGGAGTTCAGCAATGGGGAGGGGAAGCGCGGGTCGCGGGGAAGAGAGGGACCGGCCGGCCGGCGGTGACATCGGCGCTGGCTGGACCCATCCATATTCACGGCGTGAACGCAGGCAGCGCTAATGTCTCCACTAACTGGAGTTGGGGGTCCTTATTCATTCTCTTGGTCCATGACATAACCTTAAACCTTCCGCTCAATGCCGCAAACAGCTGACGTGTCGATGCTGCGCCAAGAAAATGAACCAATCACAAAGTAGCACAGTAATACGTCACTAAAATGAAGAGATCACGTGACTGTTCGTAATATTTTCAAATCGATCTGAAAGTACTGCCTCGGATATAAGTATTTAAAGCATAAGGAGGCCCTAAAATACTTTAACCAGGTAATACGTCCGTGCGAGATTGTTATGCTTAAAAGCAAAACACTTCACGAAAACTTTTACGAGTACCAGATGCAGAAAAAAATCAAATTTTCCCGGGTGTACCAGAATGGCGTCATTACCCATAAGGCAAAAGGGCATGTAGTATAGTACATGTTACATCGGGGGAGTCGAACGGTTGGAAAGGGCGCATCTGGTACCCAGAAGCGCCCAAAATAATATGCATCCCGAAGTTGTTTCAATGTGATCGAATTAGCATTTCAGGGCTGTAATCATAGTATGCAGTAGACATTAAGGTGATTCGATGGACGTCATACTTTGTGTCAGAACGGCATGCGATATATAGCATAAATTGGTTCCATTTTCTCAGCCGCTCGTCATTCTTCTCCAATTTTGAGATCGCAATTCTGTTGTCAGGTGACTAAAGCACTCACTTACCAACTTTAACAAATAAATTCAACGTAATAAAGGTGTGGTTTTTTTTAGAGAGAAAATATCGCATTCGAGTGCAGTTTCGATATCAGCATCGAATGCTATGTTTTCTCTCTAAAAAAACCACCCCTTTATTATGTTGAATTTGTTTGTAAAAATTGGTAGGTGAGTGCTTTAGTCTCCTGACAACAGAATTGCGATCTCAAAATTCGAGAAAAATGATTAGTAGCTAAAAAATAGAGCCAATCAATGCGATTTACCGCACGTCGTTCTGGCGCAAAATATGGAGTCCATACCTTAACGCCTCTTCAACTAATGCAACTGATAAGCAGAGAATGCCATGAAATGGACTAGAAGTAGAAGTCTGTTTTTTTCTAATAAATTACGTAATTGAGTCAGTGAGTTCGAAAACCCACCAACTCGGAAAAAAATAATTGTTCAGGAAACACCTAAAACTGCGCAGCGGGCGAAGACGTTAGTTTAAGAAGAACATTTTTAGTGCCAAAGGACAAGTACTTAGAGACTTTGTAAAGCACCAAGTTGAAATCGATACACCATGTTTGATGACAGAGAATTAAGCGTTTACAAATTTCCAAGTTGGTGTGTTTTCGTTCTCACCGACTTTCAGAGACTGATTTTTCATAGTCCACCCTGAAAAATGTATATTTTTCGACCTGAATAACGCTTAAATATTCATATAACTTGTTGGTACAAGGTATACTGAACCGAAAAAAGAAAACCGCAAAATCGGATGGTCACCTGTTTCCCTTGAAATGGCCAAAAATTGGTATTTCCAATGAAACATTTCGATTTTTCCCTTTTCCCGTCGCTGTTTCTAGCACTTCCGATTGTAATTTCGAAATTTCATTTTGCGTCCAGATGCTTCTATCCATAAGTGTTCCTAAACCGTAAAAAAGTGAAAATCGAAAAAAAAAAACCCCGAGTTGGTGTGTTTTCGAACTCACTGATTCAATTATCTTAGTTATCATCTGTCTTGTAGGCGGAAGTTGCTTCGGAACTATTGAATTAACTGCATTGCCACTTCTAACTATGAGTTTTTTGGCGGCGCATTCTAATTTTTGTTAATGACCCAATTTGTATGTCAGCCAGAAAAGAAAATATAACAATTATTCATCTGGACCGCGTATAGCAGAAACGAACCAAGCCACATCAGATATGCCAAGTTTCACCGGGCAATTCCATTTTTTACATGAAAACAGTTGTGCGGTTTTTCTGCAAATTTTAGTGAATTTTTTGTATAGTGCGAGGCAAATTCCTTAAAATTTCCAAAGGAATCCGCGCAAACGTTCTCATATAAAAAATTATATTGCTCGGTTAAAATTGGCAAAGGCTGATGTGGCTTGGTTTCTTTCTGCTAAACGCGGTCTATTTGGACGTATTTCTATCAAACAGAACTATGTAGAGGTGAGAAATATGGGGTGTGCTCTAGAAATCTGCATAAGAAACAATGTAAAAGAGGGCATGATTCCTTTTGATGAATTGGAAAAGCGGGATCGTGTATCAGAATGCTGAAATTCATACCTTGTCTAGTGGTCCATTGGTTCTCTAGAATATCCCCAGTTAAATTGCATTCCGCATTTTTCCAGGATACCATAACACTGGCAACAATGTCTCTGCCGGAAACTATGGGTTCAGGGACCAGGTCCTTGCTTTACAGTGGGTGCAGGATAACATCGCAGCCTTCGGTGGAGACCCTGATCAAGTCACTCTTATCGGTGAGGCCTCCGGGGGTGCAGCTTGTACGCTGCACTTACAGTCTCCACTCAGTAGAGGTAAATTATATCACTTTCAAGAGGAATCTTCATCGTTGGTAGACATAAATTGAGCCATCAAACAAAACGCCTTCATTTTTTCATGATGCAATGCAAACATCCATCAAGTAAGAGTAGTTTCATCCAGGCGCACGAAGGCAGTCATTTAAAAGTTGTGATGAACTGTCCTCCTACGCCAGAAAAAAAACTTTCGTCTACTCAGAGCACAGGAAATGGATATCAGCTTTGCAAGGTGGTACATGGGCAGTTTACGGTATTTGATCGGAAAAACTTCATCAGGGATAAAGGAAATACGCATTGACTGGTTACTCCCTCATATTTGGCTGCTAAATCTGAAAATGATCATGGTTTTCCTCCATCATCAATCGCTTACCCGAAAAATTTACGTTTCTTTGTAAAAGCTCGCATTTTGAAGTAAATTGATGGGCGTGATAGAAGAACCAAGGCCATTTGCGAACTTAGCTCATTTTTAACATTTAATACACCTATAAAATGAGTAGCATTAATAATTGAAGAAATATTTTTTTTTGTGACCTGAATATTAGGAATATTCACTCTAAAAATTTCAAGGAGATTTGTTTAAAAGAATGGACCCTGAATGAAAACTTTTGAAAATTGACAATTCAGTTGAACATGTTAAATAATTAGATTGCATTTTGCAAAAAGGAACCAAAAGCATTCCAACGTCACTAAGATTGTGTAACTTTCCTTACCCTGCAAATCTAAACTGATCATCTATACAAATTTTATCTGTACTCTCAAAATATACTGTGTATTCAAGAAGGAAATTATCCTTGTAAATATGATTTTTTTCATTATTTGATGAATTTTGTTGCAAAGAATGTATGTTGCACAATCCTAGCAACATTGGAATGATCTTGGTTCTTTTTTGCAAAATGCAATCCAATTGCATTTTGCGTTCATGTTGCACGTCGCGCCGCGAAGCCGCACGGCGGATCGAATCAATCAGGAAGGTTTGACATGAAATTTTTGACTAAAACTGCAAATTTTGAGGTTTATTTCGTCACATTTTAAATATTTAGGGGTGGTTTTAGAGGAAAATTTCCCGAGGAAAGCACTTTCAGAACCTCAAAGTTTTGTATAAACGGAATTATAAGCTTTTAAAGTTTCCAAATGTTGTGCAACCTGTTATACTGACTCCACTCGACTGATCGACTTAATATTTAGGGGTGGTTTTAGAGGAAAATTTCCCGAGGAAAGCACCTTTAGAACCTCAAAGTTTTGTATAAAGGGAGTTTTAAGCTCTTAAAGTTTCCAAATTTTGTCCAACCTGTTATACTGACTCCACTCGACTGATCGACTTAATATTTAGGGGTGGTTTTAGAGGAAAATTTCCCGAGGAAAGCACTTTCAGAACCTCAAAGTTTTGTATAAACGGAATTATAAGCTTTTAAAGTTTCCAAATGTTGTCCGACCTCTTCTATTGACTCCACTCGACTGATCGACTTGATCCATCCATTGTGCGCCGTGAGATTGCGATTTTAGACGTCTACATTACTTGTACCCATTCGACCTTTTATAGGAAAATTCAAACAAGTCCTCCCAATGTCGGGTACCTCGTTGTACCCTTTGGCTTTGGTGACAGTGGATGTTGTTGCAAACGCGACGCAACGACTCGCTGAGTTGGTCGGATGTCCATCTTGCCCACCCGAAGCTCTTACTGACTGCATGCGGAATGTGCCCGCTGAAACGCTTATTCTGGCGCAAGTTAATTTGACTTCGGTAAGTAACGTAACTCCATGTAGAATTTACCGCAAGTAAATGTGACCTCAGTAAGCGAGGTAACCCCATGTAGAATTTACCCGCGGAAACACTTATTTTGGCGAAATTCAATTTAACTTCAACATGTAACATAGCTATGCACGCGGCAACCGGTTCACCGATTGTATTCATTCAAACGCAAGTTAATTATCTTCAGGAAGTAATGTAAATCAATGCGAAATAAATTCGTATTAGAGACGCTTATTTGTGGTAGAGTCCCTTTATACCCAGAGTTAAGACAACTCACTTTTGGTTGGGCCAGGGTTGGGCTGTAAGTGGCCTAAAAAAAAATCCAATTCTGATTGGTTCTCGCTCATGGAGGCCGAAACGAGTGCACCAAGATGGCGGTACCTCGAATGTGAACAAGAATAATGAAAATATTACCTAATTGTGGTTTATCAAGAGTAAATTGTTATTTCCATCGGTCCAAAATGAAAATAGATTAAGAAATTATTCACAAACCAATCTCATTTTCTTTTTAATTGATCAATTTGTTGATGTTGTTGTTTTTGTGTGACAGACATCGCAAGATTCCTGATCCTTATCCCTCAATATCGTTCGTTTGGGTGCACTCGTTTCGGCCTCCATGGCCAGCCAAGGCCGGCTGCCAGTCAGCTGATAATCGAGTTGTCTTAACTCTGGGTATAAAGGGACTCTAATTTGTGGGGGAAACTAATTTAATTTTCAACAGTAACTCAATTCCGGCGACTTTACAAAATAGCCTGAGTGCCTCTCACTCAGCAGCACTCACTCTCTGTAGCATTTGAATAATATTCAATAAAAACGGTAACAATGAAATGAAGACTCCGTCATTTTAATAAACCTTGTGCTCTTGATGTTACTCCATAGGACAGATTCCCACCATTCGTCCGAACATATTGGGCTCCAACATTGGATTACGTTTACTTGTCGAATGCCACATTCCCGAACGATCCAAGGGTGGCTGATCTCTCAGATCCTCTGTCCCTGCTCACAGGGAGTATTCCATACGATGGCCTTTCATTTGTAGCGCGTAAGTGATTCCTATTTCATCAATTCTATCGTGAATCTTGAAAAATACGATTCGCGATTGTGGTAAGTGACGGATTGGCTTCAAAGACATAGAATATTCCAATCATATTTTATTGTATGGCTGTGCTCTAGTCTGGTACTTTTAACCAATTTTTTTTATCTAAGACATTGGCTTGCACAGAGTCGCCAATCTTTGAGGATTCTTTTACATGTATATTGTAGCACTGATTCAGATCTCGCTGATCCACTCGCAAAAATTCGCCTATTGTTTTACATACATTTGTTTGACGTAGCCTGGTGTTTCAACCCCGCCAAAAATCTAATGATAGTGCGCTTCCTAAAATTCAAATTCAACTTAAAATGGGACCAAGACCGCAAAAACAAGAACATGAAATAAAAAACCCGGTACGTTTTGCAGTACCACAGACTGTGGTACTGCAAAACGTAACGCAACTGTGATTCACGTTTGCATTTTCTACTGAAAAAAAAGGAAACTTAAAAGGAAACACACTGATCCTCACCGCTGTTATTGTGAGACTCACATAACAGCGGCGAGGCTCAATTCGTTCTTTTATTTTTCCGTTTTTCCGGTTGAAAATGCAGCCGTGATACTGCGAAACGTTCCTAGCTTTTTTATTTCTTGTTCTTTTTTTTTGCGGCCTTAACCCATTTTAAGTTGATTTTGTATTATCGTCTCGGGCCAACTAAGTTGTATCTTTATCACCTCTTAAAGTTGATTTCTCGTTGTCATGATCTGCTCAGCTATCTATCAAAACCGGGAGTTCGAGAAGCTCGTTGATGAGCATCCAAAGTACTATTTGCCGGAAATTATGAACCTTGAGTATTTCTTCGAGACTTACACTATTCCATCCGTCATAGACCGTGTTTACAGTCGCTACTTTCAAGATCAAGCACTCTCCAGGAACTTGCAACCGAGCCTCATTCAAGTAAGTCTCCCAAAATCTCTCAAGGATCTGTTCAGCAAAAATCTGATAAAAAAATTAGTTTCGGACTTTCAGCTATCCAATGAAAAGGCTCGTTTTGCACAATGCAAATTTAGCACTCATCTTAAGAGAGCGGAAACGTAACGTGATGGATCCTATTGAGGTTGAGGGGAGTGATTATTGATTTAATCATTTAATTTTATTTATTTTAGTTTGGTTTTAATTAAATGTTGAAATAATTTTATTTAAAATCTAAAGTTGTATTTCTATATTTTTAAATTAAAGACTATCAATTCCATTTAGATATAGTTGGTACTTTAATTTATCTTACTTTAACGCTTAACTTTTAAAGTTTTTTATTGTTTAGATTTGTAATTTAAATTATGAAATAATAAAACAATATTTAATTAAATTATTTTCTTTAATAACTAGATATTTAAAACATAATTTTATTTGAAATCTTAAACTTTATTAATTTTACCTCTTAAATGGTGATAATAGAAAAATCCTTTTATGTTTGTAAATTTCGAGACACTAAACTCCTTTTAATTTTTAATTAACTAACCCTGATAGTGGGACAAAGTAGGTAGCCAGTGGACTAACTAATGGCAACACTCGTGAGACACTATACAGTTAGTCCATCATTTTCTCCCTTTGTCTTTAAGAACCAATCATCTCAACCAATGAGATCGTTTCATACTACCTTTGTCTTCTTTGTCTATCGCTTTGTCCATCAATTTCAATAATCAGCCCGCAGTGCGTGGTTGGTTTTATCCTTCATTTATTAGACCGCGTAGTGACGCTTCCCTTATACGCCACATAAATACCAAATATTTGAATGGACCCCAAGACAAGGTACGAACTTAAGCATTCTGATACATGTTTCTTAACGAGAATTTCACGTAGAACATGATTCGCACAACGGAAATTACCGAACCTATCTTTTAACGGAGATATTAACATTTTTATTTCAAATTGGTTGCGAGGAATTTGAACTGCCCGCTCACAAGAAATTCAAAGCTCTACGTGAGTCAAATCGCGCACTAAAACGGTTTCAGCAAGCTTCTCAATCGAGCAATCCTCATTTCCCACAATGTGTTTTTCAAACTATAAGTAATTTGCCGCAGCTGAGCCAAAGCGTCAAGATTGAGGTTGCCAGATTTTTTTATCGCAGAAACGTTCATGAAAACGTTTATCGCGCGATGTGAATCACGTAGTGCATTGAGTTTTCATGAGCGGGTGGTTGGAATTCACGCACCAAGAATCAATAAATATCTTCGGAAGGAGTTGATTTCGGTAATTTTCGTTGTGCGCATCGTGTTTTACGTGAAATTTTGATGAAGAAACATGTATCAGAATGATAAAATTCGTACCTTGTCTAGTGGTCTATTCTCATTGAAATAGATTGTTTCGGTGGCTACGTTATCTTGCGATACTCAACGTATCAATTTGTGACGGTTGCGATACCTATCTTAGCAGCATCGCGTGCCAGGAAGGTCAATATCAGTCACCTATGAATTTTTTTTTCAATCGCAGATGCTCACGGACTACGATTTCTTCATAACGACTGCGCTTTCAGCCCTGAGGCATGCAAAAACTGGAGCTGATGTTTGGTATTACATCTACAACTACAAAACGGATGTAACTTTCAACGACATCTTATTCGATCCTGGCACCATTACAGGTCAGTCCCAAGCGCAACAGTCGTTGCCTGGCCCAGATTGGTCAAACGAGAGTACTGCTGTGCTAAGGGAAAACGCCGTATGAACAATTAAACATTCGAGAGTTACTAAATTTCCTCCGATGAAATGTGTATTTTTGAGGAGAGTTATGAATATTCTCTCTTGAAATTTTCAGATAATTTAGGTCTGACTACGGAGAAAATTCTCTGAAAAACTGACCGGAAAATATTCACAAGTTTTCCTTAAAATTCGTATTTAATCGAAGGAAATTTGGCAACTGACGAAAGTTCATACGGCGTTTCTCCTTAACACAGCAGAGTACTGGGTCTATCTCCGGTGGGCCGGTGTATCAAAAGGGTCGATTCGATGGGAGAAAATTAGGGGGAAAGAGGAAAAATAAAATCAGAGGGAAAAGGGAGAGAGAAAATAAGGGAAAAAGGAGATATGAAACTCGTAGTTCTTGATCCCCTCATCAATTTTGGGGTGGGATTTGCTTTTTGCGAAGGAGGCTGGATCGCTGGAACTGGTGACTTTTCAAATTTCGAATATAGCTCCTTGTTCATTCTTCTTCTCCCCCTCTTGTCCCTTTAAATTCAAAATACGCATAACATTTCAAATACACAATCACCCTGTTTATCGATCCTTATCCATAGGTTAAAATGGCAGATCAATAGATATATATCGCAAAGCTCTGAAGTGACACTGTAAGATTCCAGACCTTACTTTTACTTTTTCCAGAAAAACCGGGGCATCTTGACAGTCTTTTGACATTATTCCCGATGCCTGAGTACTTCCCGAACAGGACATACTCGGATGCAGAAATAGAATTTATTAGGAATCGTGTGAATTTATGGGTGACTTATGCCAGCACTGGGTAAGTCGAAAATGTTTATTCACCTTTCTACGAAATAAATGTGTAAAGCTATAAAATCAATAGAGGGCTTTGAGGCCAAGGTGCATAAGTGCAGTTTTTAAAAAAAATTGAGATATCAATGATTTCAAGGAAACTAGTCGCAATGCAAATTCTATGAAAAATTTGGATCCAAATTCCAATTTCAAAGCATCAAAAAGACAGTTTTCAGTTAAGGAAGTAGATTCATAGCTCTCGCTAGCTAAGTAGGTAGTAGCTCAATTATGCATGACACTCAGTGGTAGTTGCCGCTTATTGGTGGTGAAATTTTCTTTTTCTAAAATCCGTGATGAATCTTCGATCAAAGAGGAGACCTCCTGCTCTAATAAATATCTATCCTTTTATTCCATCTATCCTTTTTATTATTTTCCAAAGACAAAACGTAGCAACTCGTAAGAATACCAAAACGTATACTCATGAACGTACCAAAGGGTCAAAATTCAAAATAAGTCCCTCATGAAACCACCAATATAGATAATTACAATGCATGTTTCATTTAAATGTTGATTGTCTCAGTATATACAAATTAAAAGTTCCCATATTGCATGTACTAATAATTATTAAAGTAATTCAAGGACCTAACATTTTCTGAGCTCAAATCAAGTAAATTATATTTACTACTTTGTTAAGGGACGGTTTGGTCCTCCTAGCACAACAAATTTGAACTCATAGTAACAGGATGCTGGACATGTGAAATGGACCTTTAGAAAAGATGTGATAGAACTACCACAAGTCTTTTCAAAATTGAACGCAGATTGCACACTCATGGACAATTTCTATAATCAATCCACGAGTAAAAAATCAGCGATTGGAGCTTACATTGACATAAGTCAATTGGATTACATTTTGCAATAAGGAACCACTATCTCTGGCTCTTTTGTAAAAGCACCTTTTTTGCATATAGAAACCAATGTCATGTGCGTTTTTTTCTAAAATGGGCCAGAAATAGTGGTACCTTATTGCAAATGTAATTCCATGTCCTCGCATATAATGGGCCTGTTGCATGCAAGGGATACAGCCGTGCGAAAAGACTTTTTAGAGGTTAAATGACACGAAAATTACGATGGTCATATTAAAAAAGTCTGAAATACACTCCTTACTGCGCAATTTGCGTTGTTAGGAACGCGCTTTTTCAAATTTCCCGCGTCTGGGGGCAGTTTTCTAACGGAAACAATCAACGGCAACTCGCGGCTATTTCCGGTCAACTAAAACTGACGAAATAACCTAAAAATCGGAGCTCGTGATATCGTGAAATGAAATGTAGAAGGATTGCGTTGGATATTTAAAAGTTGATCGATTTGGTTACCGCATAAAGCGTATTTGGACCACTATAAGAGATCACGTTGGGTTTGTAAACAAACTGAAGGAAAAAATAACAACAACAACGACTCGGCATTTTCCGGAAATCACCGAGCCTGCCGTTTGCTCGTTTCCGGTGATTAGAAAACTGCCCCCAAACGCGGGAAATTTGAAAAAGCGCGTTCCTAACAACGCAAATTGCGCAGTAAGGAGTGTATTTCAGACTTTTTTAATGTGACCATCGTAATTTTCGTGTCGTTTAACCTCTATTAAGTCTATTCGCGCGGCTGTATCTCTTGCGTGCAACAGGCCCATTATTGCCAAAATTGTCATACAGGTCAATAACACATTTGATTACGTTTTACAACAAGGAGCCACTATCCCTGGCTCTCATATGAAAGCACATATCTGCATATAGAAACCAATGTGATGTGCGTTTTTTCTAAAATTAGCCAGAAATAGTGGTACTTTATTTCAAAATGTAATTCCATTTCTCTCTGATTAATCCACAGAAACCCAACGACTGGAAACAACAACATACAATGGGATCAGGCAAGAACAATAGAGAATGGCAGGGAACTAATACTGGATTTATCTTTCCAACAAGTTCGCTTTTACAAACAGGATGTATTGGACTTTTGGATTAATTTATTCCGAGAATTTAATCCAAAATTGGACACCAATATAAATTGAATTAATTTCAACTGAATCAAACGGAGAGGATGAAGCTAACAATTTAGGGGAAAATAAGCGATGAGTATTTTTAGCGAGGTATATTTTTTTTTTGTTTAGGCTTATTATGTCTCGTAAAGTTATTCGACTAAGTCGAGAAAAAAATATTTTGAACGTGAAAATAGGTGGCAAACTCTCTCTCTCTCTCTAACATCTCTAACATTGAATCTTCGGAGGATTAAAATTTTAAAACCTCTTTTTCCCGGCTTAAAATCGATGCGATTTGTTTTTTTTCTGTTAGGCTCAGTCCATTCGTCAAGGGTATTTCTTATTCAAATATTTTCATTGTGATTAAGCAAAGTCATAGAGTTAAATTAATTAAGTAAAGTCATTTAGGAGAAAATAATGGGACACAAAGTGAATACACCATTGAGTTGTACGCAGACAAAAAAATGCATGTACGTCTAATTAAAAGGTATATTACGAAGTAGAAATTTTGACTTTGAAATTTAAAGCTCAAGCTGTATTATGCGTACAGTGGACGTTGAAAAGGAGAATGAAAGTTTTCACCACTCCATTTACCAGTATATGTATTTCACCATTTATATTATTACCATTTATTTCACCAATGTATTTTGCATAAGTGGAGGAATTCTGTTTTTCTTTGAGTTCCGCGAATCATGTGATGAAAAATAAGCAAAATATAACTGAATGTAATGCGTAGCTGAGCAAACAAGCATGAGCATCAGTGCGGCATGGCTTGAATTTCGATGTATCGATTGTTATGCCATTTAAACCTATGGAAAAGGATCGATTGATAGGGTGTTCGCAGCCAACACCGTAATAATCGATTCTTTACCATGGGTTTAAATGGCATAACAATCGATATATCGCAATTCACGCCACGCCACTGATGAGCATATACATGTATTTCCACAAATTGTCTTAATTAAAATCTTGTAACCACGATTGTGAGGGCTACCTTAGACGATAACGATTATTTTCCATATACTTTAACGACAATATTATTTTGACGTCATAGCGATGACACTCAAATGTTCATTTTAAACATGCAACAATTTGTTAAACATATACATTCGTTTTGTACAAAATCAATATAAAATTACAGGTAATAATTAAATAAATTTATTCGAAATATGTGTATCTCAATTTTTCAACCCTTAAACTTATCCGATAACGTTTTATATTATTTCAGAAAAATATCTGTTTGAACTTGGTTTCCTAAGCCGTTGCTAAATCCCGTAAAAATTCTATTGGCGCGTATACGTAGTATACCGCCTTTGCGATCGTTTCGACCCCCCCCCCCCCCCCCCCCC